CACGGAAGGCAGGCAGAGACGTATGTATACAGTCGCTATCCGGGCACTTGATTAGGGCGGCAGGGTCGCGACGCGGCTGCGGCGTGTCACGAGCGCGGCGATCAGCTGTTTCCAGCCTATTTTAGCCATTTTCTCCCTAATTTACACTGTTATGGCTGCTTTTCTCAAGATTAGTTGTTCCTTGCCTTCACAAGGTAAATTATGATTGAGGCATGTTCTGGTCATACGACTCCACAAATTGCGTTATTAGAAATTGGATCGTCTGACCTGCACAACTGTAAGTCGCCCTAAATCGGCGCAGCTAAAATATGTTTCTCCTCGCTCAAGCTCCCTGTGGTTGTTATTTAGAACCCTGTGTATCCCTAGCTCTGCGTCGTTGACCGAAATATTCGATCCCCAACTAATTCAAAGCAATAGACTTACCGCGATAACAACAAAAGCGACGATGAGTATAACAAGAACACCGACAGCAATGATCGAACCGATCAAAAGTGCTGATGGTGAGCCGCTCTGTGGATATGGGGAATGTACTCGTTCGACGTACGCTCGTGATGGAATACCTATAAAAAGATAGCATTGCCAATCAATAATCAGTTAAATCCTATGAATGTGGCGATGGTGGCGAGGGGTGGGGGATCCAGGACGGCTCTAGACTTCAGGCCCCAACCTAGCGGCGCTCTGTGAACCCTCTACCCACAACTCTCGCTCAATGGTTGCTTTGGACACTAATATCAACTATCGGATGTCTACTGGAAACCCCTCACCTCGTCTAATACCCCGGTATTCAGTGGGAAAATGTGCATTATATCTCAGGTGCAGTTCGTCTTGGTGAAGGTATTTCGCTTCTCTTCAATCATTGCCGATGCCTCTAGTACTTATTGTATCTGTGAAATTTGGCGAACCTACCCACAGAAGAAGTTCTCGAGAAATTGAAAAGAAGCCCGAGTGGTGAAAATCAGCGCCGGATTTTCAAATCAGGTGTCATAAGAGGGAAGTGCGCTGCTCAAATTTGACCTGCGCCAGGACCAGTAGTTGTGTGTAATGGTGTTCTCGAAATACAAGGTGGAAGGTTTGGTTCAGGAGCCCGAAGAAGGAAGAAAGGAAAAAATTTGTTGTCGTGGATGGTCCCATAATGTTCATCCTGCACAAGAAAAAAGGGTGGATGAAGTCAAGCTGAATGTCTGATCCCAGAGCCTGGACCTTTGTCGAGCTTCCCCGCGAGTCTGACATCCCAGCTGCAACTGCTGCCCGAGTTATGTCCGATAAACTGAGGATGGTCAAGAGGGTGTGCGCATGGGTACCTAATTTTCTTGTAGAAGCACGAACGCAGTACCGATTCTATGCCTCTAGCAGTAATGTTCTCAGCATGAGATGTCATTCACGACTGTGAAAACGCACCCCGGCCCTAGATGAAATATGGGTGGTCTTGGACCTCGAGCCAAAACTCACAATCGTCAATTTTGTATGAATGCAGATGAGAAGCCGCCCGAGTTCTACCATGAGGAGTTACGTGGGCGCAAGTGGATGATCATCATAGCAAAGGATTCCCACACTGTGGCTTTCAGGCGGCTCCTATACAGAGAATAAAATCGTCGCTGTCGGTATATTGCCTGTTCCTCGGCAATCAGATCGACAAATGGATGGTACCACACACTACAAGGCCACCGTTGCTCGTCATAGTGTCAGACCCCTAGTAACTGTACTATAGGGCAGCGCTGGGACACAAACAATACTGAGACCTGGGTTCAATCGCTCCATTCGCCTAACATAAAGCCGTTAGTTTCCAACTGTTCTGGTTAGTGGAGGGTACTCTCCGACGGAAATCACAACGCATTATTATTCGCCGAAATTGGCATCAACAGCAATTTACTCGCTGCTGTTTAAAAACCGGAGCTACCAGAGTTCATACGCTTTCGGAGCTTTGGGAGCAGGGAATTGTGATGGAGGGATCTACTCAGTCAAGACGCCGAAATATCACTGCATTGTTTATTCGAATGAAACCATCGGCACTTTTGAATGGGTTGACCTTTATGATTCTTGTAAGGCCCTGCAATATCAAGTGTATTCTTTTTCAATTGACAAGAGTCTACAGATCTCATCAAGGTGCGGCGTGTAGTAAAAGTGTAAAATGCCCTCGAAAGCCACACAGCACGGCGTCTTGTTGACGACGACTAACGGGGCGATTCCCCATGTGAATCCAGTACCTATGACTTACCATTTACAGTTATACTCCTTGAATCGATTTCGTTTTGTCCAATCATTGATCCATTTGATGAGATGGCAGTTTCGATCCTTAAATTGAGTATTCAGTATATCGTTATAAAGATCTCCGAGATAGGATATGGGTGACAGCTTTCTGCAAACTAAGCGCTGCTATGGGACCGGGTACAGGATGAAGATCGGTAGAATGGTGATTTTGGTACGGTATGCGAATTTCCTCCACTGGTACGATCCCCTCTCACGGCCTGCTTACCTTCTCATGAGCTTTTCTCTAAAAAATGCCGAGCGGATATGCAGGGTGGCTGCTCCGATCAGTTACCATGAATTCCTGTAATTCTGGAGCATCGCCAAGTAGTGCGCGTGAAACCAAAAAATTCAAGTCGAAAAATCGTAATAATTTTCTCGAGACGCGGAATCGATCCCTTCCTTCTGAAAGTCTCGCTCAACCTTGGATGTACGCTGCAGTGTTATTCTGTGTGATTAAGCGCGATTCTGAAACTGCGGAGGTTTTGTAGTGACAAGTGGCTCGCTTACCCATTCACGATTGGTACAAATCCCAGGCTGGCTCCCGCCCAAGCCAAACAAGCTAAAGTGCGTTGGAGGCAAATTTTGAACCTCGGGGTTATGAGCGAGATCGTTTGGGAGTAGTTGCACCAGTAGCGGAGGGATCTCAAATTGCGACGAGTTTACCAGGCAGTTTCTAAGCATATCTTACTTAGTGGCCAAGTCTTCGGCGTCCTGGTATTCTTCGTGTTAAAATAACTCCGTTGACGACGACTGAGCCCTTGGCTAGCGATGCGATCTCATAACCAACAAAGTTATCTCCAAGGAGTGTGCTCAGGACCACACTGATCTGAACCGATAAGATAAAATAGACGATAAAAGCGGAACCTCGGATAGAACTGACCTGTGGAACAATCTGATCACTGAGTTTCTTATACTTTCCACTCGTCTTGTCTTCAAATTCATCCATAAATTCAATAGAAGTGATTCGCATGGTTAATGCGGTCTTCTTGTACTTCTCCGCAGTTGGTTCTGGTTCTGGCTCAGGGCTGTGGTGGTCGAGCATTAGGTGCCGGTTCTGGATGGGGCTCTGGTGCCGGTTCTGGTTCTGGATGTGGCTCTCTGTTCAGGCGCTGGTGCTGGCTCAGCTTCAGGTTGCGGCCTTGGTTCAGGAGTAGGCTCTGGCACGTGGGGCACTGGTTCAGGTTGAGGCTCTGGTTGGGGTTCAGGCTGTGGCTCTGGTTGTGGTTGTGCTGTTGGTTCCGGCTGTGGTTCTGCTGTTGGTTCAGGCTGTGGCTCAGGCACTGCTTCGGGTGCTGTTCGGCCTGTGGTGGCAGTTGGTTCCGGTGCAGGTTCTGCAGCGGATTCCGATACGGGATGTGTTTCGTGTGTGGACTCCACTGCAGGCGGAGTCGCTGGTTCAGGTGTGGGTTCCGTAACAGCGGAAGTTTGTTCAGTTTCAGTGGCAGTTTCTGTCGGTGTGGGTACCGCCTTAGTGTTTTCATGAACGAGAGCTGTGCGGCGAGCTTCTTCACTGTTCAACTCGGGTTGATGTCCCAAAACGTGGAATTCGTTGATTGTCGTCTTTGAAACAATCGGCTGAATGACTATAGATGGCCGAGGTCGTTCGGAAGTCAAAGTCGTGGGAATGGTGGTTGCTGAAACAGTGGCAAATTTACTCTGTTGGACCCACGATTTGTTCTGTAACAATTATTTCCAGTGGAAATATTCAACTCACGTGTTGTTTCGTCAATTTCAGCGGTTACTGTAGTGGGCTTGGAGTCAACCATGAATGTTCCGGCAGTGGTCTAAACAGAACAAGTAAGATGCAGTGCTGGAGAGCCTTGTGACTTTTGATAGCTCTCAAGTTCCTCCCAAATGTGTCCATCAAAGAGAGTTTGGATTTGGCCCTGGAGCATCAGGGTGTCGTTGCGACGTTGGGGACGAACTAGGCAATACATCCTTTAGTGGTCGAGGAGTCAACGTAATAAAAGCGCTCTTCTATCGAGGTGCTTATGAGCCGCTTGCAGCGAAGCTATCGTCGCGCCATTCCAAAGGGCAAATCGTATGCTGTGTGGTCCCATTGAGGGGGCCTATTCGGTATCTGGAGAGTGGCTAGTATTTGCCTCTAAAACAACATTTCCGGTTGTTTTCTTTTCTCGGTTTTCCTGTTCCTGGTATTCTATTGATCCCCTCCCTTCCCCTACCTGCCACTCCTATTTATCCCCTCCCCTCTACCCAAGGACAGTTTGACGGAAAAATGGTAGGAGGTTGGGAGAAATTGGGAAGATGTTAGGTGGGGAGGGTGTTCTACCAGAAAAGGAATATTTGACGGGAAGGGGTCCTATTGCGCGCAAAATTTCCCCACGGCGGCATGCGCTCTGCTTAAAAGTAGGGGTCGAAACATCAGCCCCACCCTCAAGATAACACGTACATCGAGATACCTTTCAATACTTTACTATATTGGACTTTTCTTTTTCTTTCGTTTCCTTCCTCCACTTTCCATTTTCCGTTTCCAGAGCAAATGTTTCCGAAATTTGTAGAGGCTGTGAAGGTAATTCTCTGGACTTACGGGTTTCCTCTTGTCATTGATGATCTCTGCGCTTTCTTCTGGCAGTTCCACTCGTGGGAAGACAGGCTCGGAAGACGGCTGAAAGTTTGGTCATAAGGGAAAATACGAAAGGATTTTCTAGTACAACGTTTCCTGAGAGTTCCAGGTATGGTCTATGAAAATTGCTTTTGCCTACGTAGTTTAGAATTTAGAGTTTAGAAGTAGCGATGGCCTAGTTGGGATTGCTCAGATATCAACGCAGTGCTGGCATGGTGAGAAGAGGTC